AGCTCTTCCTGCGCCTCTCTGCTTTCCAATCTTTGCCACAAGTAACATCAGCTCTTCCTCTACTGTCTTGAGTGCCTTAGTTGGGACAGGGTAATGCTGATGTGCTTATAGGTGTCAGAGTAAGCAAGGAGACAGACCATAATAACCAGTGCTTCTGGATGGTTGAGGTTGAAAAGAACTTGATCTTGCTGGCTGGATATTGTCTGATACTTCAACAGAGCATTTCTTTCCACAGGCAAGAAACTACATCCAGTCTTTGTCTTACATGCCGAAAATGAACTTTGAAAATGTCTTTATTGGTGCCAATCCCCTGGGTAAGACCTGTTTATTGAATTTTCCTGAAACTGAAGCTAGCATGTCCTGTCCTTTGGAGAGTCCCAAAGCTTTGTTCTGGCTGCAGGAGTAGTGCAGAGCAGGGTTGTGTTTATGAAGGATGTGTGGGCCAAGGGTGTAAGAGGAACAAAATGCTGGATGATGGTGGGTCCTGAGAAACTACAGATTGCTCATCCATGTTGGGCTTTTAGAAGCTTTACATTTCAGAGCAGAGTCCCACAGCTGATGTGAGAGATGCTGTATGTCTGGTGCTCTTGCAGCCGTGGACTTGCTGGAGAAGATGCTGGTGCTGGACACGGACAAGCGCATCACGGCCGCCGAGGCGCTGGCCCACGCCTACTTCGCCCAGTACCACGACCCCGACGATGAGCCCGTGGCAGACCCCTATGACCAGTCCTTTGAAAGCAGAGAGCTTGAGATTGAAGAATGGAAAAGTGAGTCTGGGCCAGGGGAAAGACAGCTTCTCTTGTGGTTGTAGAATTATGGAATATGCTGAGTTGGAAGGGACCCACAGGATGATGGAGTCCAACTCCTGGCCCTGCACAGGGCTCCTGTACAAGTCCAGAATCCCATCCTGGGCATCCCTGAGAGCATTGTCCAAGCACTCCTGGAGCTCTGGCAGCCTCAGGGCTGTGCCCATTCCCTGGGGAGCCTGGGCAGCGCCCAGCAGAAGAACCTTTCCCTGAGATCCAACCCAGCCCTCCTGACCCAGCTCCAGCCGCTCCCTTGGGTGCTGTCACTGCGCACAGAGAGCACAGATTGGAGCTGCCCCTCTCACACCTTGCTGAGTCTCCCCTCAGTCTCCTCTCCATCCCATGAGCTGAGGTTCAGCTAAGCCATGGTCAGAGGCACAGCAGAAAGTGAGAAAAGTGTGGGCAGGCTGTTGATTCTGTCCTTACACTAAGTGAATCTGCCACATGCTGTGTGCAGATTTAGCACAGTCCCTGGTAACTAATTACTGCTAGGAGCACACAAACATATCCTTGTTTTCAAACTTGCATCTCCTCAATGCTCTGGAAGTATCTTTTATTGTGTATGTTGGTCTCTGAGAGTGGTGTAACCATTCTTTTCTTCTTTGTCTTAATTAAACAACACTTTCTGTGTAAAATGCTGTTAGAACACTTGAGATTGTTGCAGGTTTTCTTGCATGAAGGTGTGTCTGGTAGTGCTACCACAGTCCTGCTGCTGAGTTTCTGTCCCACTTCTCCCCCCAGGCCTGACTTACGATGAAGTGATCAGCTTTGTGCCACCCCCGCTCGACCAAGAGGAGATGGAGTCCTGAGAAACTGCTCTCTTCTGTTTGTCCCACTCACTGTGAAGGGAAGGCCTTTTCATAGGGACTCTCCAATTATCGTTCAAGTGCCTCATCACAACAATATTCTCCTTAGTGGAGGGGTTTTGTGTGTGTTGAACTGGGGAGGGAGGGGGGAGGGAAGGAAGCTGAGTCTATGTAAACATGCTGCATGCTCTTGTATTCTGTGTACAGCCTGGGGCAAGCCTCTGGAGACCTGTTCTGACTGCACTTAGTTCTTCCAGAGTGACAGTGCACCACCAGCCTGCACTGCTGGGCCGAGGTGAGGAAGGTGACAGTGACAGTTTGGTTGCAATCATTGCCATTTATCAATTCTCCTACAACTGAGTAACCTCAAAAAGAATGAAAGTTGGTTTATAGGCTTAGAGAGTCCTCTGTTTTCTTCAGGACTGAAGGTGGGGTTGAGGGATGTCCTTGTTCAATGCCAGGTGTGTGATTTACATCCAGATCTTCCTGGTGCAGCAGAGTGTAGAGGCCTTCTGGTGTCTGCTTCTTGGAACATGAAAAGATGTTGTTTGAAACTGTAAATATGTTTGTGCCTTAAATAAAGGGGGAGAGAGGGGGAAAGGAAGTCTGGGGTGGAAATCTGACCCACTGTTCTTGAGAGTGAAGGCTCCCAGGTAGCGAGGCATGAACTCAATGTAATTGGGAAGTAATTTTGAGGCAACAGCTTCAACCCCTGGATTGGGTATTCCTGTGTTTTTCACTTTCCTCCTCCTCTTGTTCTGAGGTTTTTCAGCATTATCTCCAGGAGCCAGAGGTTGGGGAAGATCCTTGCTAGCCACACGTTTGTGTATTCTGTTCCCTACAAGGTGGTGTGTTTTTGCATGTTGTAGCTGTGTGTGCATGTAGAGCTGCTTGATTTTTGTCCTTACTTTTTGGGGATGGCACTGGGGGCAGTTCAGTCATCAGTGAAATGTTGCTGAGTACCTCAGGCAGTGCCATAAAATCACAGCACCCTTCCTGCTGTGCTGCAGCTCCTTGTGAAATAGCTGCCATCCTAGAGGCTTCAACGAGGGAAGGATGTCATGTCCAGCACCAGAGCAACATGCACCTTTTTCTTTGTTCTGACCTTCTCTCTGCAGAGGAGAGCTTGGGTGGAAAGGTTTCTTGTGAGATCAGATGTAAAAAACGTTCTTTAAAGAAATGACTATAGTATCTTGTGCCAGAACTTAAGTTATTTCCTGAAAAGATTTTTTTTTAGAAGTATTGGAACCCAAAGCAAAGAAATAAGCATGCATAAACACACAATCACCCTTTCACTGTCTATATCTATAAATACAAATATTTATATACATAAAACTAACATTTACTAGAAGTTTTTTTATCCTCTCACGTAAGAGCTTCTTGGCTGTTTCTTAGCAGGTTGATCTCTGCCCGAGGAAACATGAGAAGGGAGTATGTTTGAATACAAACATGGTTCAAATATTTTGTATTTTCCAGGCCTCTGCATGAGTGAAGTGCCCAGAGTTAGAGACTGGCAGGAGGGAGGTTTCTCAGCATGTTTGTGTGCTCCATCTGTAGCTGGCGAACTCAGGAGCCCAATTTTAGGGCTTCTGGAGGAAACATTTTTAGAATTTAATTTGTTGCAGGCATCCTGTGTGGGCAATGTACCAGTGTATGTGAGGAGAAAGGCTTTTGCAGTATTTTGTATTCTTGTTACCTGTGGGGCAGAGAGTGTTTTTGTAGTGTTTTTGCCCCATGTTTGAAGAGGCAGCACAAAGGGATGGGATGTGGATGACAAAGCCATTGATTCTTCCTAGGCTACTTCCCAGCGATCTCTTCAGGCCAAAAGTTCAATAAAGGTCTGGGCTGAGATGAAGAGAGCAGCTCTGTTGTGCTTTAGGATAAAACTCTCCACAGCCCAACAAAATCAAGACAAAAAGCCTCCCTTTTCTGCTGGGCCAGCAGTCTGGGTATTCAAATAAAAATGTAGATATACTATGTAAACCTACAGCAAGATTATTTTTATCAGCCGTTTTCTGTGTAGATGCTACAGTGTGATTTCATGCGGAAATATTGCTAAAGATTTTTAAAGCCTCTCGGTGTTGTGCGTGTGGGTGTGTCTGTGTGTGTGAGTGGGAATGGTTCATTGGAGTCTGTCCTGAGGGAGCCCCTGGGGCACAAACTCCCTGCTGCCAGTGCCGTGCTGTGCTCAGCTGCCCGGGCACCACGCTGCACCCAAAAGCAGAGATCTGCTATTTTGTTTCTATCCATGGATTTTGCTGTAATTGGTTATGCCAGATAAGATGTCACAATACCACTGGTTAAAAATAAAATCTATTTTTCAGATTTACTGCACTGCTGGTACTTGGAAACCTCTTGCACTGACGTGTTGAGTTTTTGGCATGGTGTGAATTTCTCTGCTGTGCTGTGGGGGATCCTGGGTGCGATGGCTGGGAGGGAACAAGGTGGCTGGAGGCTGACTCTGCTGCCATAGGGCTTCTTGTCCCTTTTTCCACCAATCTGAAGTTTCCTGTTTGACTTGGTCACTGGAGTTAACTCATCTCAGTACACCCAGACCTGCCCCGGCAATTCAGGGCTCCCTAATTGGGTGCTGATTGCAAGGGCTGTGTTCCTCAAATGACCCAGGAGTTACATGTTTGCTTAAGGACCAGGAGCTTTTGCTGTGACACCTCTTGCTCACAGGTGTGAGCAAGAGTTTTTTTATAGACCCAGCCAAGCTGTGGATTATTTCCAGGCTGTGCTGCTGCAGCCAGGGCTGATTACACAGATTCTGCCATGGTGCCTTGTCCCTGTTTGTGTTTGTGCACAGCAGGCTCTGCTGGGCTGCCTGCAGAGCATAAGGGCCAATGCAGTGGTTGCACATAAAGCAGGCACAGTGAATTTTCCCTGCCCCCAGTTGTGCTTTTCCTGCAGGGACACCTTTGCAGGTGCCCTGTATGGAAGGAGCAGAGGCTCTGGGCAGGGTGGAGGGCTGCTGGGGTAGAACACTGCAAGCAGCTGGGCTGGCTTGGTAAGGCTCGGCTTAGTCACTTCCTTTGGGGAGCGGGGAGGATGCACCTCCTGTGTGGGAGCCCCACCTGAGCCTCCTGGTGCTGGGGAGAGATGTTGAGGTGCTCTCTGCTCACCAGGAATGGTCCTGCTGGGCTGGTGGGTCACAGACACGGCGGAGAGCACGGGCTTTGCTTTGTCCGAGAGGAGCCAGGAAGGGCTGAGCGCTGAAACCGCGCCCAGCAAAGCCTGGGGCACAAACCGTGCGGGGGCTGTTCCCGTCCCACAGCTGCTCCTGAGCCCCTCGCAGGCACTTGGAGAGCCTCTGCCAACTTCCAGCACCTCCCCACGCTGCTGGGAAGCCGGGCTCGGGAGAAAATCGCCATCGCTGTGATCCCGTGGTGTCCTTTGTCACGAGCTGTCCGTCGGCTTCGAGAGGATCCCTGCGTGCCTGACGCGGTGTGTCTGCGGCTTGTGCCTCGGATTCCCCGGCTCGGCCAGTCCTTACTCATCCCCTTGTTTGGAGGAGGGATTTCACAGCCCCGGCCGAGCCCCGTGAGGATATTTCTGGGCTGATGGAGCAGCAGAGCGGCAGCCGTGCATGACAGGGGCTGCCAGAGGCGTGCCCGAGCGGGGCCGGCTGCTCCCCTCCTGCAGCAGAGCCCAGCGGCACCTGTACAGCACCGAGGCGTGTCAGGAAACCTGATGCCTCACCTCTGCCAATGTGGAGGCGGAGGGAGGAGGGCCCAAAGACATGTCCCTTCACGCTCGCAACAGCTGAAAACAGAGAAGGAAACTCGCTAGAGCCTTTTCCAGCAGCGCAGGAAGCCTCCCTGTCCCGATCTCACCCCAGCAGCCCTCCCGTACTCCACTACTCTGGGGGGGTGGCTGTCCCGCACCCGCCGGGCGATGAACATCGCAAGGAGAAGAGGCTTTTACAGACAGGAGGTGAACAACACGCTCTGGGAGCTGCCCAGGAGATACACGAACCTGCACCCGCTGGGCTCCGGGGCCTACGGCTCCGTCTGGTGAGTGGGGTCCCGCTCGCAGCGCCCCGGGGCTGGGGGCGCCGAGAGTTCCGGGCCGGGGGCGATGAGGAGGCGCTTGGCAGAACCCTCCATTAAGGAAGGACATTTGCATGTGGGATGGGGACAGGCTGCCTCCTGTCCAGCCGGACACTCGCTCGCCTGAGGAAAGTGCCCCAGGGTGGGCAGAGAGGGGCCGGGCGGGCAGGGTCACCTCGGCACTGGGGTCGGGCAGGTTTTGAGCTGCTTTGGACTCTTGCTTGCTCCGGTAGCACAGGCGGGAGGCGGGGGAATACCTGGGTGTCTGGGAGAGATTTGTGTGTGATTACAGAGGTGGGAGCTGGAACAGGGTGTCCCTGCTGCTCAGTCCCAGGCAGCTGAAGCAGCTGGACAATACAACCCGCACCCTGACACAGTTTCCAGTTTGAAATCATAAAGTGGATAGAAATTATCGCAAACCAGGATCAGTAACAGACAGGACTTCCTTCATGGCTGATGATAAAGCCCAGCCTACAAGAGAGCAGCAGGAGCTGCTGTTAATTATTCAGCCAGGCAAAGGTGCCTGAAGCAAGAGCAAGCACAAGGCAGAAATTGCTGGGTTTGCACTGACGAGCCAGAGATGGGCAACCCTGAAAGGTTAAATATGAAACAGTCCATTGATAGTATCTGAACAGAGCCCTTATTTCATAACATGCTGAGCTAAAAATAAATGAAAAAAAAAAAAAAAGGTGTGTCTGTTTTCATAGGTGTTGGGCAAAGTCTGGCCTGGCACTAATCCTGAAACCCTGGTGTCCAGGTTTTGTCCTCTTCCTCCAGCTTCCAATTTACAGAGGGGCACTCACTTGGCGGCCCAGATGTGTTTATGCCTCTTAGATTCTTAAGTAAGTCCTGTAAAATCAGGCAGGATTAGACTTGACTTTTAATTTATATTTGTAAAGTGTTCTCTGATTTTTATCACTGAGAAAATCAGGAAGAAAAATAAAGACAGGACAAAAAAAAAAAATAATAAGAGAGAAATCTTTTCAAGTTTCCTTGCCCAGCCGAAAAAAGCAAACATCAAAAAAAATCTTTCCTGGTCCCTGTAAAACTCTGGAGCTCTCAAGAAGGGAGGTTGAAGCAGCCCGGGTGTGGATGGTGGTTTTGAATGGACAGAGCTCAGCAGGGAGGGCTCGATGCTCATTGCTGTACAAAGCTGAGGCAGAAAATGTGGAATTAGGATTTGCTGTCCTCTGCTGGGAATTGCTGGGAAAATTTTCTATTGCAGCGTTCTGCAGCAGCAGCTTTTACACCTTCTTGAGCAGCTGAGAAATCTTTTTTTTCATGTTTGCCTCTTGAGAGGGGTCAGGGAAGGGCTGAGACACCCCTGGAAAACACCACTGAGAACCCTGAATTTCAGCTGTCTGAGGACCTCCCTTCCCTCCTTGGCAATCTGAGCGAGGAGCCTCCAGAGGGAGAGGAGCTGTCACAGCATTGCTGTGTCCAGCTGCCAACAGCCAACGTGACCAGCAGGAACAGCACAGCAAAATAATGCCTGCAGCAATGGCTGCTGTACCAGGTTTTCATCAGCTCCAGAGAAGAGTCTCATGTCAGCCAGACCCGCTCTTACACAGAAGCAAATATGTAATCAAGGATTCTGAACACAGCAGGAGTAATTGCGGCAGCATTTTCAACATGTGACATCCACAGTCTTTGCTCCAGAATACAGCGAAGGCAGCTGGCCTGCCCTAAAATACAACACCCTCCAAGCAGATGGCAAAGCAGAAATTGCCATATCTTTATTCCCTTATCTCCATGCATTAAGGAAGGAGAAGGCAGAGTCAGAACTAATTCTGGCCTTTAACCATCTCTGTTTCCCTCTTCTCTCAGCTCTGTCACCTCCAGCTCATTTCTGCAGGTTGAAGGGAATAAAGATGAGCCACTTGTGCTTTTCTTGGTGTCCCACCTCATCCCCCAAAGAGCGCAGGCTGCCCAAAGCCACACAGGGCTCTGTGTGCAGAGCTCCACTGAGCTCCTCAAGGGACCTTTCTCTGCTGTCCTTCTGCGAGCACAGGAACCAACTCTTCTCTAGGAGGTGACCTGTGGGGTTGCAGAATCTGTTCAAACATTCTACTGACACCAGAATGGTTTTTTCTTTGCCTGCTGCAGTTCAGCCATAGACAAGAAGACGGGGGAGAAAGTGGCCATCAAGAAGCTGTGCCGCCCGTTCCAGTCAGAGATCTTTGCCAAGAGAGCCTACAGAGAGCTGATGCTGCTGAAGCACATGCAGCATGACAACGTGAGTGCTCATTTCTCCTCTTCCTGCTGACACAAGAGGTGTTTCCTTGCCACCTGGGAGCAAGTCCTCTTTGGTGGCATCACCTGTGTTTTAATTGACATTTGGTATGTGCAGGCTGTCTCAGGGTTTACCTGTGACCTGTTTGCCGTGCCCAGGATGGAGCAGGTGTGTAATGGGTGAGCCCAGGTGTTAGTAAGAGGGAAAACATCTATGCAGCATCAGTGAGGAGGCCCTGGGTTCCTCAGATGGAATTTTCTGTGTTCTCCCACGTGCATGTGCCAGTGGAGAGCTGATGAGTGCCATGTGCACAGCAAATGCTTTCCAGATTTAAATGTGGGCTTCTCTCCTTCCTCAGGTCATTGGGCTGCTTGATGTCTTCACCTCCACTGCCTCCTACCAGGGGTTCCAGGACTTGTAAGTCTGGACTTGTTTGCTCTGTGTAGACATAATTATTTTCCAAGACAGCTGTGTCTTAGCAGCAGCATAACAGACAGGGTTGGGGTGCAAAGGGACCAGACTAGAATCCAGGCATCCCCAAATAACGCAGAGAACCAAGAGCACACCTCAGCTGCCATGGCTGACACACCCAGAACACGTAAACAGATCCCACCCTGCTCCCAGCTGGGACACCACAGCAGCACAGACCAAGCTGTGCAATGAGGATGTGTTACATTCCCTGGTGCATCACACAGAGGGTGACCCATGCTGAGCTAAGGGGCTGCACTCACAATGGGAACAGTATTGTTCATCAGGCCTCAGGGCAATTAAACTTAAAATTTAAAAGATCTGTCCTTTTCCTCTTGATTCTGGCTCTTCTCAATTGATTTTTTGGCATTTTCCCTCCGTGTTCATGGTCACATTGGATGAGTCCTTTTTCCTTCCCCATCACTGCAGATGAGCAGTGTGCCTGCTTTGGGGTTTGGCTGATGGCTGAGGTTAGCAGCCTGCAGGAGGAGCATGTGAAGGCTCTCAGAGCAGTTCCTGCAGGAACACCATCAATTCATTAGCAGCCTCAGCAGGCAGCTACTGAAGGAAGCTGGATGTTGTTTTCTGAGGCAGGGCTGGAGAACATTACAATGACAAATTTGGGAGCCAGTGCAGCTGCTTTGCTGTGTGAGATGTTTCAGCTCCTGGGTGGTGAAAGCCTGTCCAAAATTGAACTTCACTTGACGTCTAAACTAATTCAGGATCCTGAAGATCCTTATTCTTACTTGACATCAGATAATCTGATTTCCAAGGAGGAGAAAGAGCAATTTTCAGAACAGGTTGAAATTCCAACTCCTCTGCAGGATGTGCTAGTTAGCCAGGAAAGGTCACAACAACTCATATTCCTTACACAGCCAGAAAAACCAAACCAAGTGAGAACAAGGCTAGCCTGGTCCCCTGCATTTTTCTTCCAGACTCAGGGCCTTGTCTTACTGCCTTTTAGCTACCTGGTGATGCCATACATGCGGACAGATTTACAAAAGATCATGGGACATGAATTCAGTGATGAAAAGATCCAGTACCTGGTCTACCAAATGCTGAAAGGGCTGAAGGTAGGTGGGTCTGGAGGAGTTTAGTGACTCCCTGTGTCTCCTCTGCGTGTCACCTCTGGGTTGACCCTAACTAAACTCCCCTCCAGTACTGTACAGGAGGATGTGGGGAGTTTATGGCGTCCCCTCAGAACAGGAATTGGCTGTTGAACCATTCCTGGTCCAGCACACATCAATAAAATGAGTGTTTGCTTACATCAGGTATCAAAGTAATCAGCAGCCACAGGCCTTGGGATGGTTTCTCCAGGGCAGCACTTGCTTCTCTCTCTGCCTTGCCCAAACCCTCAGCACAACTCTGCACAGAGAGGGAGAGACTGGCAGCAGCAGGAGCTCCTTGAACCTGTCACAGAGGCTCCCAGGGGAGAGGACAGAGGGGATGATTTCCTGTTCAGGAGCATAAGGGAGGAATATGTTTCTGTAACTGGCTTTGAGGGAGCTGAAAGGAATCCCTGCAAACTCTGGGATGTAGAGACAGAGTTTTCCAGCTGTCCTCTCACATCCTTCACCTGGAGTCACAGCGGTGGCTTACAGGCATCGATGGGATCACCTCAATCACACCTCTCCCCAGGTCACTGCTACCTTGAGTTTAAATAAAGGGGGGAAGAACACACAGAAGGTTTGACTGGTATGCTAAAAATCTTGAAGTCAGTTTTGCAATTTTATGGTTTTGGGCTGAGATTATTTTTTTAACACCCAGAATAACCATGTTCTCATGTCATCTGCTGTAACCTTGATGACTTTGATAGTTTGAAGTTGTTGTACTTGCTCTGAGGAGCTATTGCTTCATCCCTCCTCTTCTGCTCTATGCATCCTCTTTAGACTGGCAATAGCACTGTAAATACTGTCAGTAATTTGGGGCAGAAATGTCTTTTCAAACTGCTGCCCCAGGGACCAGGGGCCTGTAGAAGGCTGCAGAGTTTGTTCTCAGCAAGTTCTTGTTTGTAGCTCTTGTTTGTTTGCTGGAGAACAGAAAATTTTGTCTGCTGGTGATCACATTGTGGCTCCTCTTTTTATTGCAGTATATTCATTCAGCTGGCATCGTCCACAGGGTAAGTTCATGTGTGCTCTTATTCTGATTTTTGTCTGAGAAACACAGCATAGTCATAAAGTTAACAAATTCCTAACCATCATTTCACTAATAACATTGTCTGCTCTAATTTCCATCCTGTCTGCTCTCTTTTCCATCCTACACCCCATATATGTTTAGATTTACTACTTCCTGCAGCATTTTGAGAAAATGCTGTATTTTCTGATGAGCTGAGAAGCATTTTATGATGCTTTTTGGATTAAAACTGTTTCAGAAAAGAATAAAATAGTAACCTAATATAGCAGGCATGGTGTTTATTCAGTCATTTACTGATTTGATATTGAACCTGGGGTGTTATGGGACCCCATCAAGAGGAAGTTGTGTTGATGTATTGCAGTTGAAACATCCAATTTTTCTGCTCCTGTCTGTTGCAGGACCTGAAGCCAAGTAACCTGGCTGTGAATGAGGACTGCCAGCTGAAGGTAGGTGGCAAAGCAGCACTTTGCAGCACATCAGCTCCCGGAGGAACTGCTCTGCCAGAAGGAAATTGGCACTGTCACGTTTCCTCTTTCCTCCTGAGCCTCCATTCCAGGCGTTGTGTTCCTTGGCAGCTGCAGCAGTGGGAAATGCTCCCCTGCTGATGTCACTTGCTGAATCAGGACACAGGACCTCAAATGAGCCTTCTGTCACTGTAGTCCTCGTGGATGGCAGTGTGTAATGACTTCCTGGAGAAATTCAGCACTGCTGAGCAATACTGGCAGCAGGTGAATGATCCCTGAAGGGTAACTGCATTCAGCTGCAGTTGCCCTTTGGTTCTCATGGACACTGTGGTTGTCATTCCAGACAAAGTCATTTCAGGGTTGCTCTGAAGGTTTGCTAGCTGCTGGCTGCTGTGGTGCTCTAGCATGCATTTCTGTAATGTATATTTCAGGGAGTGGCTCTGCTGCCCATAAAGGTTGGGTCAAGCTTGTTCATCTTCAGCATTGAGGGAGAGGCCATGCTGTGTCACCTGCAAGGTGTCCTTATAGGAAAGGGTGAGTTGTGGTGACCTGGGAGCACGCCTTCACCACCAGGTCACAGACCAACTCCAGTAAAGCACATTGACTCAAAACTTAAGCTTCAAGAAAGGCAGTGACCTTCCAGGGAGCACAAAGCACTGATCCTTTCAGAAGGGTCTTCTTGTGACAACTTGGTTTGCAGCTGGCTTTTAATTTACAGTGGGATTAAGATACGTAAATTCTTTGAACAATCCTGTGGGTGTCTGTGGTGTAATTGGAGCTTTGTCATTACCTGATTGGAGCTACTCCATTTTCTCTTAGAAGTAGAGTCTCACTTGCCCACAGGATTTCTCTTTTCTCTCCTGCCCCCCTTCTCCTTATTCTTCCTTTGGCACTGCAGATCCTGGATTTTGGCTTGGCCAGGCAGGCTGATGCTGAGATGACTGGCTACGTGGTGACACGGTGGTACAGAGCCCCAGAGGTCATCCTGAACTGGATGCATTACAACCAGACAGGTGAGCAGCCCTGCCCAGCCTGTGACTCCCTGGTGATGAGCTGGGGGATCCTGCTGGCTCAAATCTCACTCAATTGTCCAGTTGTTTTTCCTCCTTTTCATCATCAGTGTTCCCTGGAGCAGAGCAGGTCCCAGAGGTGTTGCACAACTCCCAGAGCTGCTGCTTGCAGGAAATTATGAAAGCTGAGATTTTAGCAGCATAGAAAGAACAGAGGAGGGTGGGAGTGAAATTTAAATCAGTGTTTGCTGCAAGCAACAGCAAAAGTGACAGCCCCAGCAACCACTGCTGCCTTTCTAATTTTTTTTAAATTTTCTTTTCTTCCTTTCCCCCCCCGCTCCTTTTTCTCTCTGAACAGTGGATATCTGGTCTATTGGCTGTATCATGGCAGAAATGCTGACTGGGAAAACACTCTTTAAAGGAAAAGACTGTATCCTTTCAAGCTAAACTTTTTGCCTCAGCAGAGTAATAATTCTTAGTGTGTGTGTGGAAGGGTTTTTATGACTGAGGCTACTGGGAAAAACAGGTGTCAGACTGGTTTATCAGGAGGTAATCACAAGGACCAATCTTTTTGGGGAGGAAAACAGAAGGGGACCTCAGAAATGCACCTCTGTGGTGGCATGGTTCTTCATCAGCTGTTCAACCTTGTGTGGCCATAGCTCCATTCCCAAAGCTTTGCACATCCTTCCAAGCCCGTGGATGTGTGTCCTGGCATGGTTGTGCCAGAAAAATGATCTTGATGGAAATGCCATTGCAGGAAGAAAGGCTTGGAGCTCTTTTTGCCAGCCTAATGAATCGCTACTTGTGTGACTGTGGTGGGTTTGTACCATGAGCTAATCACACTCCTGCAGGCTGAGCTGGGGTGGGGGTTTGCTCCTCAAAGGTGATCTTTAACACGGCTTGCCAGACCTGGACCAACTGACCCAGATCCTGAAAGTAACGGGGCATCCAGGAGAGGACTTCTTGGAGAAGCTGGAGGACAAAGCGGTAAGGAGGCCCCTGTGGATTTGGGTCCTGCTGGCAGAGGTGTCAGGGGGAGAGGTTGACTTGTGTTTGGCATGGGAGAGGTGCTGCCTCTGCAGCAGCAGGGAAATGCCCTTTTCCCTGGGCAAGGAAGGCATTTCTCTGTGCTGGTGGCACATCTGATGGACCTGCTGCTGTGTTGGGAATGGCTGTGTCTGGCAGGGACTCCCAAACCACCAATCTTCTCTGTTCTCCTGCTTGGCTCTTAAAACAGAAGGATTTCTCTGTTTTGATCAATAAAAATAGTTCCTTGTAAACTGTTTGCTGAAATGGGACATCTGGGATGCTTTGCTCTTCTCTTCATTTGCTGAGACTGGGAGCTGTATTTCCCACCTGTCCACGTGCAGTAACTGTGCTTTCCTTGCTCCTTCAGGCAAAGAGTTATATCAAGTCCCTTCCTAAAATCCCCAAGAAGGACTTGTCTGTGCTTTTCCCTAAAGCAAATCCTCTGGGTAAGTAATCTCCAGCATTTCTCATGAGTTTTCACAGCTGGAAAGGAGGCAAGCTGACTGCCACAGCCCCAACTTTATTTCTCCTTCTCATAATTTATTGCTACTTTTTTTCCCTTGCAGTTTGTGCCCTTCCTCAGGGAAAATCTACATCAGTTAATACACATCAGTTAAAAGCAGAATTATCTTTTATTGGCATTACAATGGTGATGTTCTGCTGTTCTTGGCCATTTACTACTTTAAAAAAAATTATAAGTACAGTGTAGAACCTGGATCTAGCAATATTTAACAGAGAGCTGATGTGAAATTTTCAGGGTAAAAATTAATCTCTTAGAAAGAGCTCTCTGCCCAGGTAGGTTAGAGGTGAGAGCAAGCAAAACTCTTCTAGAAACTGAATGGAAGAAAGTCTTGAAATGTTAAAACCAAGTGGGAATGGGGGTGACAGACCAGTCAGCATCTGAGTTTCCTGCCTCCTCTTTAGCAGGGATCTATAGGTTTCTATACAGATACTCGTGTTAAGACTCCTTTGAGATGCAGGGCTCTGAATGAAAGCAAATTATTAAACCTGAGAAATATCTTGAGGTTCCTGGCTTACTCCTCATGTTTCTGCAGCCCAGTCTGTGCATCAAGGCTTATTCAGGTCTAATTTGTTATTTCTGCACAATTTAACTTCTGTTAGTAAGAGCTCCCTGAGGCTGTTGTTGGGCAGACTTTGCATCTCCACTGGTGGGAGCCCCTCGCTGCCCTGGCCAGGTTGAGGATTCTCTTCACTGTTCAGGTGTGGAGGTGAAACACTGGAAATAGCAGTGCCACACTGGCAGGGCTCATGCACAGGCTGCCTGTGCTCCCCAGCACCTTGCCTAGCCCTGTTCCCTTCCTCCACAGCTGTGGACCTGCTTGACAAGATGTTGCAGCTGGATGTGGAAAAGCGCCTCACAGCAACACAGGCCTTGGCTCACCCCTACTTCGACCAGTTCCGAGATATCGAGGAGGAGACAGAGGCACAAAACTCCTACGATGATTCTCTGGAACATGAAAAGCTTTCCATAGAGGAGTGGAAAAGTAAGAACTTGATTTTCTTTGAGGTGCCTGTCTAGCATGGGACTCTCCTACCCCTCTTTCTTTCCTGTACAGATGCTGAGTAAAGCTGTGATTGCCTGCTGGTGCCTCAATGGTAGGGCACAGATCTCTTGCTTTTATCCATTCAGCAAAGATCCCTCCAGCTCTCCAGGCAGACTTTTTTGTCTCTCTCCTTTGTCTCTTTCAGCTGCCACTGAATGCCTTTTCCTGCACATCCAACACTCCAACTTTTATTTGTGTCCTCTAAAATCACACATTAATGGTTATTTTGTTCTGCTTTTCAAGAGCACATTTACAAGGAGATCTTGACCTTCAGTCCCATTGCACGGAAGGATTCAAAGAAGAGAAGTGGGATGTCCTTATAGCGACGGGTGCAGCTGTGGCTGGGACTCAGTTCTCCCTGATGACATCACATTCATTCCACACTGTGCTGCTGGTGGCCAACTTCTGGCCTGTGGGACCTCTCTCTATGTGCCAACACAAGGATGACGCCGTGCTGTGGGTACTGGACTTTGTTCTTCCGAAGGGGAAGCACCCCAGACAGTTTTCGACATAAAAGACAAATATATTCTTGTTGAAACTTTAAGTGAGAGATTTTGACCTGTTGTTTCCTTTTTTTTTCCCCTGTATTTGTCCACTTGAGAGAGGAGGGGTTTCATTCTTTCTCATTAGTCTTTTCAAGCACTGAGTTTAGTGTATTAATTATGGATGCTCTTCCCTGGGCAGTCACAGAGCACCCAGCAGAGCAAGGCTGCTGGGACAGTGTCAGCTCCAGGGCACCAAGGGATCAGCCTGTGTTCAGAGCAGCTACAAACTCATCCTCTCATCCTATACACACAATTCTGCTCAGCTGCTTCCCCTCCAAAGAGCCACTGCCTCTTTTTTTGTTGTTGTTTTTCCCCTGCTTATTTAACTCCCTGGGATTTGATCAGTGCTGTCTCCTCCTCACAGCAGGCAGCAAACTCACCCTGGGAATTCAAGGCCACTTCCCACAGTGACAGACTGGGAGTCCCAGGCAGCTGCACAAGTGGCTTTGAATATGGATCTGCAGGACGTTTTCCAGCCTGTGCTGAAACTGGAGTATCTGCAGATCCACAGCTTATCAATACAGTCACTTGATAGTGCAGGCACAGCTGCTCATTGTGATAACACCTTTGGACTGCAACACCTTCTTCCCCAGGGTGATCAGGCAAGTTCAGCCAATCATTCCAAAGTCCATCCCAAGGGATATGCACCAAGTGCCTTCTCTGTATCAGAGCTCAGACCACAGTCCCCAGGACTAGAGAAAAGTATTTGACCTCAATAATACATCCAGTGATTCTAAACTCCCCCCCACCCCTTCTATTAGCTGCTGACTTATTTTGGTTTGGTTTAGCCAGGTTGTTTGTTTTCAGTACTCTCTAATTTTCTTCTTAAGTAATGTTCAGTTTTGCTGTACAGACTACAAGTAAGGAAAAACTACAACATTTCCAGAATTTTCTGATCTCTCTTCTCCACTGGGAACTGGACAGTGATGTCATGTTGCTTGGCTGCCTCCCTCCTGCAGCTCATGGCATGCAGCACTGGGGATAACCCTGCAGTGACTGCAGCTTTTTGATAGGATGGTGTTGATGTTTGCCTGCTGCAGCTGCACACATGGTCCATGGTGATAAGGTGAGGTTTCTCTTGGCTCATATCTGTCTGGGTCATGTACAAGGCCTTTGCTCCAGTCCTCTCTTAGGTAAGGACAGTGAGCACAGAACTGTTGAGATGTGTCCTCAGTTCCCTGGAAATTCAATGTTTTCTTATGCAGAATGTAATCTCTAAAGTCAAAGTCATCTGTTAAGGCCAGATTCAGACAGAATTTATGAACCACTAAATGGGAATGCTGGATATTTTTTAATCATCTTGCCCTCCTTCAAAAGGGGAGAGGTAGACCTGAAGAGTCTTCTGTCTCAGTAATGATGGCTGAGGGAGAAAACATCTTCACAACAAAGGAATGTACTGAGCAGTCTGCTGGTAGTTGAAAAGGGACTTGGATAGTTGTAAAGAACAATTTAAAATGCCCTTTGGGAATTGTCTGTCTGAGCAGAGGACAAGCATGAAGAGGCACTGGGGACATGTGATACAAATAGATGTGTGAAGAACAATTGTGAGCATAGCCAAGTGGGGTACACAGATTCTGCAAACACCAGCCTCACTTGTTTCAGGGATTGCACAAAGGCTCTTCAGCATCAATCTTTCTGCTGAGTATACACCCAGTTCCAGGGACTGGGTTTCTCAGTAGGTTTACACTTACCCTGAATGCTCTGAAATTGCAAGAGCAATCCCAACAGCTGCTGTGTGGGCTCCATGCTCTGGTTTCATTCATTCACCCACCAACCCCATACAGTGACAGAACACTGTGCAGGATTACCCAATACCCCAACAAATGTGGGGAGCAGGTGCTCTGCAAGCCCAGGAGCCCTGGAGGTGTATGTATATTTGGTTTTTTGTGGTATGTATCATCCAAGAACTCAAAATAGACAGTAGAAAATGAAGCAGGTTGGTAGTGGAAAGAGTCTCTGTACAGAGCAAGCATCCCAGTGCTGCTGTGGCATCTGAGGACGTGTTTCAATGAAAAGCAATGAGCCAGGAGAAGGGAGAGGTGGGGGGAAATCCTATTGACATTCATTTCCTGAAAGGAGTTTGAAAAACACCTGCTTGACAGAGGCAGTGACTCAGGCCAAGGCTGGGATCCTCCAGAATCAGCACCAGAACCGAGAGGGGGTGTGTGACCCTGCCAGACACTGTGAGTCAAAGCAGAAATTACCTCATGCAGAGGTGCAGGCAGTGCCTGCTCCATGACTCACACTGACACATCATTCATGGACATTCCTTTCATTACAAGTATAGTTTACATGCTTAAAAACACAAAAGCAAGTGATAAAAATCCCTCAGCCATTAAGTGGTCGAAAATTCGGTAAATCAGGCCAGCCAAAAATATGTTTGCCGTTTGTATTAAGTTTCTATGATATAAATTTACAAAGATATATGGATGGAATTTTTGTGCCTGTCTCAGATAACTTACAGATGTCTAACTTGGAATACTATTGACTTGCTATTCTTACATTCATTTCTGACTTAGAAGCATCTTTTTTTAATTTGGAAAATAAAGCCTTCAGAAACAATCTTCCTCTGTAAGTTTGACAGTTAAATAGGTCTGTGAAGTTGCAACTTTGTGGGGCCTATTTGTTAGGTACTTGCACATGTAAGTGGGAAAGAAAAAGCAGATGAAGGAATAATTATTTTTTTTATTAAGAGATGCCACAAAATTAGAGGTTTTTTTAAGAGAGATAATAATAGCTGTGTTTTAGATACCACCTAGAAACCTATCAGTGCACAATTTTAAAAATTTCCACAGCCTCTATAAAGAAACTACTTATTTTATCCTGGAGGAAAAAGACAGATTATCTATTTTTATATTTAACATTTTCACATTCTAGGTAGCAGACTAAACAAATAATGTTCATGTTTTAGGTATGTGACAATGGGAAAGAAGAAAAACATAGAAAATGATAAACATGTCTGAGAACTCCAGTGAGATTCTGCACAAAGGATGGTAGTACCTTTTCATATTCCCATGTCTTGCTGTTGCCTGAGCAACCAGGGAAAGCATTCCTAATCCTCTGCTTTTTTCCTGTATCGTGGGTCAGCAGAGTGTTGGCTGGAAACGTGATTATGGCTGTTTTTCTCTTCACAGCTGAGAGAAACAAGACACAAAAGACTGAATGAAGATCAGAATAGCCATTACCAATTTGCTTTCCCCCCAAAAGGATGGGCACTCCCTGCACTAATTGTACTTAGCATGGAACCATTCAGGTTGGAAAAGGTCATTAAGATCATTGAGTCCAAATCTACACTGAAAATGTCACAGTTCCCAGGTGAATGTGGTTTAGGGGATGTTTTGCCTGATTTCTCTCTACAAGGCCATTTTCTGAGCACATGAGCTTACACAGCTTTTAACGTGATGTTCAGCTGGTGCTGGCTCACAGCTGATTCAGGCAGCTCTCCTTTTCTGTTGGAATGCACTCCATTAAATAACACTGAAGGGTTGGTATATTTGCAACCCTCATTGATTTGCTGTTACATCAAAGTGAGTTAACTTCTTTTAGCCGGGCTTGGCTGGAAAAATAAAAATTCTCCTGCCATAAACCATAATTTCAAATCTGTCTTTAGAACACTTCAACTGAAAAAAAAAACGTTTTAAAATTAGAGGACACTGGAATTAAAAATAATGGCCACTGAGGAGGTAATGTTGGGTACTTGTGTAACCTCTCTGATGTGAGTGAGGCTGAAGAGGGTTATAAATATGGATATAAAATTCCATTTATATATGCCATATATAAATGGCAACTGAGGCTTATCACTTTTGAGGTATCAGGTTTTAACCTTTAATGCACAAGGGACCTGTTTAGCAATTGCTCTGATTTCAGCAATTCTGCAGAAAACAGCAGCAGAACAAACAGCCAAAGAGAGATACAAACATAAGTCAGTTTTGAGGCTCAATAAATCAACAAAGAAAAAGGTCAGCTCTCAATTCTAACTGGTACTTCTCTTCCCTTTTTAAGTATGTCTTATATGCTTGAATAAACATGGAGAAAATTGTAATATGAATGAAGGTGCCCAACTCTGTTTGAGGTGTCTTGGCTGCTGCTTTCATTTGAAGCAACTAATTTTGCACTCGCACCCTTTAAAAACTGGGACAGCAAAGAAATTGAATTAAGCTGTGCCTCTGGGATTTGAGAGAAGTTCAGAACGTTTTTTCAAATAACATGTTAGTTCCACAGCATTGATATAAAACAAAATGATGAATAGCTTGTTTTGATGTTGTAACACATGGCCCTCAGTCATCAGAGATGTCTGGACATCTCTGTGCACAAATCATCCCACTGTTCTTAATAGGGAACCTAGTATGATTATAATAAGCTAATTCCAGTGCAAATTTAAGAGTATAAAGTTTCCAAATTGGGGTAAAAAATTAAACAGTTTGCAAAAGTTGGTCATATTAAAAAAAAGATCAAGTAAAACCCAGTTAAAATTCCCACATGGAAAACCACAGAATGGGCTGGGCTGGAAGGGACAAACATCTGTCTGCAGTCCCCTGCTGTGGGACACCTTTCACTAGAGCAGGTCACTCAGAGCTCCATCCAACCTAACCCTGAACAATTCCAGGAATGTGGCAGCCACAGCTTCCCTGGACAACCTGTTCCAGTGCCTCACCAGCATCACAGGGAAGGATTTTTTTCCTATTACTCAACCTAAACCTCCTCTGTTTTAGTTTGAAACCATTCCCCCTTGCCCTGTCCCTCCATGCTCTTGGAAAAGTCTCTCCTCATCCTTGCTGCAGGCTCCTTGCAGGTACTGAAGGGCTGCAATTAGGTCACCCCAAAGTTTCTTCTCCAGGCTGAACAAACCCAGTTCTCTCAGCCTCTGAAGTCGTTCATCAATTATTGAAATTATTTTATTTACTGTTTAACCAGAAAGCAAACGCAGCTATAGGGTGTTTTAGGGTTTGTTTTATCCTTCATGGTTAGGACCATACTGTTATACAGCTGTTCTTTTGAGGGTGAGATCCTTTGTAAATCAATGAGTTTTGGGACTTTATTTTGAAATGCTTGATGTTATTTTTCATGCAAGACAAAAATAGTTTATTGTTTATTTTCAAGTTTTGATATGTAAATAGTAGGCCTGCAAAAAAGTAAAACCCATATATACACAGTATATATTTCAAAGGTGGGATGTAAAGACTGTTCAGCAGTAAGTAACACATTTCCCTTTGCTTTTAAAGCTGCAGCAAGCTCTGGTCCAACCTGAGTTCTTTGCAAAACAGATTGTCACACACTAGATGCTCTCAGATTCCATGGTTAACATACGTTAAGAGACAAAAGATCTCCAGTTGGACCGTAAATGAGGGAAAACAACATTCTTTGCTTCCTTCTAAAACAGTTAATTCTATAAATTCAGATGGTGATATTATGCAATACTCTGCACAGAGTGGGAGGTGGAACACACATATGCTCAAGTATGTGACACGCTCTATAAAAAGTAAGTGTGGGAGCCTCTGCAATTCCTATCTCAATTGCTAACTTAACTTCTTCCTTGTTCAAATCCCCTCAATCCCTCTCTCACTGTCACTCCAGCCTGTCTCACTTCTGCATGTGAAGAGGCCATCTGGACCTGAAATATTGGCCTACAAAATAAATAGAGGTTCTTGCTATTTACATTTTATGTTGCTTGTTTAGACTAACTGCGGCAGGCCAAGGTTCTCTGGGAGTGTAGCCGGTTGGACTCCGACCACGCTTCAGGGTATTTCCTGGGACCCCACGCCTCCTGCAAAAAAAAAACATGGGCTGCAAAATGAAGACACCCCAAACGAGCCTGGGACAAAACCCCCACCTCATTTCCCGTGGCCTGACGGCTCCCGGCTGTGGGGTACCGGCCTGGGCTGGGCCCGCACGGCTGTACCCGAGCTCCCAAACCCCAACCCGCGATGATGCGGGGGCAGGCACGGCGCAGGGGCGGCGCGCTCCGGCCGCCGGGAGGCCGCGGCTCCCCGGTGCTGCCTCGTCAGCCACGGAGGGGGGACACGGGCAGTAGCGACCCCCGCCTCAGCCATGAGGGCAGCGCGGAGGGACCCCCCGCCCTCCCGCCAGCAGCAGCCCCCGGGGGCCTCCCGCTCGGCGCGGCCGGGTGTGGGAAGGCACCGGGGAGGGGCGGGCGGTGCCTGCCCGCGGGGGGAGCGGAGCGCGGAGCCCCCTCCCCCGCCTGGCCGCTGGCTGCCGCCTCTCCCCGCCGCTCGGCCGGCCCGCGCCGCCACCGCCGCCTCCATCTTGAGCGTGTGTCCCCTGCTCCCCCCCCGCCTCCACAGCACCGAGAGCGTCGGGGGCGCTGGAGCCCCGGGGGGGAGCGGGGGGGAGGTGAGGGTGGTGGGGGGCGAAGCGGCACCGGGGCCGGAGCGGCAGCGGCGGGAGCAGCGGCGGGAGCAGCGGCGGCAGCGGCAATGAGGAGGCGGCGCTGAGGAGGCGGCAGTAGCCGGAGCGGACGGAGCCGACATCTTGTGCCCTCCCCTCCCGCCGCCGGCTGGGTGAGCCCGTCCGCCCCAGGGGGGAGGGGAGGGGGAGGCGGAGAGAATTAAAAAAAAAAAAAAAAAAAAAAAAGGAAAAGAAAAAAAAAAAGGAAAAGAAAAACAAAAACAAAAATTCCCCCCAAAAGGAGGCGGCGGCAACGGTGGAGAAGCCGCGGCAGCGGCGCGCTGAGCCGGCCAGGTAAAGCTCTGCGCGGGAGGCCGCGACACCCTTCCTTCAGGGGTCTGTCCTCCCTCACACACCTCCGCGCCGGGGTCGCGGGAAGGTGACCGGGCGGGCGGGAAGGAGCTGGGGGAGGCCGGTGCGCCGCAGCTTGCGGGCCTCTCCCGCGTCCCTGCTCCGTCTCCGTGCGGCGAGAGCGGCCCGCGATCCCTCGCCGAGGAGGGGGCAGCGCGGAGAGCGCCCGGGGACGAGGAACGGGCAGCGCCGTGTAAACCGGGCCCCCCCATCGCCGCCATCTTGGCCCCCCCTTCTTCGCGGCGCGGCGGGGGCGCCGCCCACCTTCTCCCACGCGATTGGCCCAGGCGGGGCCGAGCGCACCCGCCGTTAGCCCCGCAGAGCCTTGCGTTGCTATTGGCCACTGCGCTTTGATGGACGGCGGCGGCAGCCAATGGCCTTGCAGCTCTGATGCGCCCGCGCTCTCTGGAGGCTGTGGCGGCTCTGTGGGGAGAGGTGGCCGCGCAATGGGCCCGGTCCGCGGCTCCGTCTCGCCCGGGTTCATCGCGTTCTCCTCCTCTTCGGGATGGCTTCATTTCTGCCCGAGTCCCTGCTGTGCCTTGGCTGAGCTCGCTGGCTGCTACTGGAGTTCCCTGCTGGGTAGCTCCTGGGAGGAGCTCCTGCCTGTGCCTGACAGCTGAGGGCATGTCACCGTTCCCTCAGTCGCCGCTGAGATCTGACACCGCTCATGGCGCACCCCATCTGTGGCTGAGCCCTCACTTTATACCTGAAACTTCATCCACAGCCCGTCTCGCACCCTCCTCATTCCAGCGGGAGGGCCTTTCTCGAGGCCCGTGCATCTCCCATGCTTGACTTGGTTATGACAGTGTCTGGGCATTGGTAAAGATCGAGATGTGCCAAGGCAAGCAGCTCTGTGGCATCTGTTGGGCACCGACACATTTCATTGTGGGCATCAATGTGGGCGTGAGGAGCATAAACCCTTGGCAGGTGTGTGAGGGGACCATGGGCAATCGCAGATGTGGCAGGAACGTGAAGGGACATGGTGGAGAGCAGCAGGAGTTTTGCTGATGTTTTGGTTGGCAAAAGGTGTAGAGGGGCTGCAGCTGTTACAGGTTGTTTTTTTTCCTCTGGCATTCATTGATTTTATCTTACAGATTTATTTTTTAAATAGCTGCATGGCTGTCTGTTCCCCATTGTGCAGCAGTGGGTTTTGAATCCCAGTGGCTGCACGGAGCTGAGTGCTGGTGCAGGAGAGCAGTGCTGAGGAACATCTCCAGACCTCATGTTTGGCTTGATGTCCTAAAGAGGGACAGCCTTTGGTAACAACAAACCCCAAACTCTTTATGACTATAGGTCTTCTGCAGTGTGAGAAAAATATTTCTGACCCTTGGAGATAGCCAAGGCAGTATTGCATGGGTGGAAATCGCTGTCTTTCCTTTAGAGGACCCACTTGTGTTCAGTATTCCAGGCTATGTGTATAACAGGCGCCTGTACTGTAATGTTGTTCCATACATGTTGATTTCTTTTGTTTTTTTCAGGGGAGCTTTAGCCCCCTTTCTAGTAAATGTAAGTATCCTGATGATGGGCTTGGTTTTTCAGTTGCTTGTTGCAGTAATTGCCCACAGGTGTGAAAGCTGCTGCTCAGGAGAATCAAATCACTCCTGAAGGAACTCCTGGGGTAGGGTTAAATTCATTCCCAGCAGCTCTATGAGTTGTAGCCACCTTGTTTGCTCAGTTGTGCTCACTGGGAGCTTGTAATCCCCAGTAGAAATGGGTGATGGGAGCTTTTTGGAATGCCTTGATCACGTTGTGGCAAAGGGATGTCTGAACTTTCTACTTTCACATCAGCAACCTTTGTCTGTGGCAGGACAGAATCAGCATGGGCTGAAATAGCATTTAACCCTGCTTATGTTAAATATTTTTAGCATTTCAGTGTGCCCAGGTGCTGTTTGCAGAGGGGCTCATTATGTGTAGCTGGGAGGTGTTTTCAGGTGTGCAGAGGGACTCAAAACTTTCCTAGGTTGCTGCTTAGAAGTTTCTGTTGTTGCAGACAACAGCAAGGTCACAGTGCTCAGCTCAGTTGTCTGAGCTGATTTCGTTGCTGCTTTCAAGGTATTTTGGAGGTGTCTCTCCTAATATCCAGGTGTGTGTCTCATTCCAGGCACTCAGCTCTCGCTGGCAGCAATTTCCATGCCATTTTAGGTGCTTCTTCATCGTGCTAAGTAATTGTGTGTTTTACAAACGGGTTGTTTTATGGCACTTGGTTGCTGTGGTGCAAAGCCCACTTTGGGGTAATTTGTCTAGAAAAACACTGATTGTTCCACTAAAGGAGCTCTGCATGCTTGTTTTTCCCATTAAGGGATAAAACAACTGTTCCTTCAGGTGCTTGTTTCACTGAAATTTCCTTGTCCCTCAGCATTCCAAGCAATTGACTGTTACTTCATTTTTCCTGAACACAATATTAATGATGTGTGTGGGCAGCTCATAATAATTACTTTATCCTCCATGTATCTTTTTGCCTCCAATATCCTCTTTGCTTGTACCAGTCTGAATTGTAACAGAGCTGTTTGTCACCAGGATTTTCTTTCTTTTTTTTTAATTATTATTTTTGCTTGATGATCAAGTAACCTTTATAACCTTTTCTTAAAATTATTTTCTCCTACTGATTGGAGCCATTGGAGTTCAGCTAGGATGAGTGCAGCTGGGTGTCTGCAGTGTGTGGATCAAGTGACTGATTAAAGTTTTCAGGCAAAGGTACCACCAAAATTTGTGGTACCTATATTTGCAGGTAAAAATTATCATCTTTTATTTTACATGTGAGATAAAATTGAGTTTACAGGCTCCATCATTATGGGTGTGTATACTGAAATTGGCACCTGCAGCTTATTTCTGTGGCTGCAGGGAAGAGTTTGGAAATCTTTCCCAGAGCCTGTTTGTTTCTTAAGGCACAGGTGGTATCATGGCTTAATGTCATGGTTCACAGAACCAGTACTTGAAAAACTATTGCTCCTGGAATTTGCTCCTTCTTTCTGGAATAAGCTTGGACTTCTTGTAGCTCCTGGTCCTGTGAGGTGGTGCTTGCTGTGGCACACAGTTGAGAGTTTCTGGAAATGTCCTTCATGGAGCACAAATACTGCATTGGCTGAGTACCAGTTGTGGGTTTGTGGTGTGTTTCCTTGTCTGTGGGTCCCCCAGAAAGGAGCTGGATGTGTGGATTGCTTTAAATAAGGGTGAGGTGCTGCTTCAGGCCTCTGCATAGCAACAGATAAGCTCTGGGCTGGCTTATCTTCTCACAGAGAATTTACATTTGCTTTTCTTTGTCTCCTTTCTGACTTCTTTCAGCCTCAGCTTGTTTATTGCCATAAGTCACGTTCCCATCCTTGACTCTGCCCTTCTCTCTTGCATTACTCACTTGGCTTCCTCTCTGCTCTCCCTCTTTGCCAGCTCCTCCTTCGCCCTCTGATCACCAAGCTGCTGCCACCATGTCTGAATCCTCCCCCAGCCCCTCTCCCCAGGCTTCTCCTCTGCTCCCCTCTGACAGGCACCTCCTTAATGTCAGCAGCCGACTCTCAGCTAATTATCTGCCTTGCTGATTAGCAGTTTGTGCGGGCAGAGCTGGCTGGGGCTTTTTGTTAAGGCTCTGAGCAAATGCCATTTCACAGCTCCTGGTGCTGGGAGCTGTCTTGCTGCTCTCCTGCTTGTAGCCCTGTGGACTCTCCATAGCCAGGTGGCTCGGGTGGATGAGTGGGAATTGTGGCTCCAGGGGGGCTAGCACCAGAGCTCGTAAGTCCATTGGGATCCGTGCTGTTTGTTGCCTTTTTATCCCTCTTTGCTTCCTTGTAGAAGAGCAGAAGGGATCCACATCCTGCCTCTGCTGCATTGCTCAGTTCATCCTCTGGTTCTGTTTGTGGCCCTTGACAGAAGGGAAAGCAAAACTGGAGGATGATTTTTCATTGTAGGACTTTTTTTGCATCTGCAGTGTCAGAATGGAAGGGTTGGTGGTGGCAGCCCTGAGCTGTGAAACCTGGAGGAGCTCCCTCCTGGACTGAGGGAAAACCATTTGTTTTCTCATCTGGAGCTGACAAAAAAAATTAAATTGGAAACTGCATTCATAAGACCTGAATGGTGCATTCCTTTTCGCCTGGAAAACATCCAGCACATTTGGGGATATAAATGGAAAGTCACAGGCAAAAGAGCAGAGGAGAACTTGTTGGTTTGTGTGAGCTTAATATGTGAACGGTGCGCAAAGATGTGAACAGTGTTGTTTGAATTTCAGGGGGTTCTGAATGGTTTGCTGATCTGGGTGCAGAGCAGACTCTTTGTATATTGTGCTGTCAAATGGTTTTGAGTTTTTCTCACTGGTGGTGTGGTGGAATGTACATCTGTGGTGCAAATACAGGAAGTTGGAGGGTGCTGTGCAGGAAATGGCTGATATATCAAGTACCTGCCCGTATCTAAGGTGTAAAGACTTAGTGAGCCTGAAATTGCTGGAGACTCTGGTAGAAATTCTCTCTGTTGCAGCACTGAGTGAGTTTTTCAGTCTGTGCTGCTTGTTGCTCGTCTCCTGTCTTACCCTGTCTCTGTGCTGTCATGTCCAGGCTCTGTGGAGCACAGGGATGAGGAAGCCTCGGCGGAGGTGCCGGCAGCACGCGGAGGGGCGGCGTTCTCCCTCGCCCTACAGCCTCAAGTGCTCGCCCACGCGCGAGACGCTGACGTACGCGCAGGCGCAGCGCATCGTGGAGGTGGACATCGACGGGCGCCTGCACCGCATCAGCATCTACGACCCCCTGAAGCTCATCACCGAGGACGAGCTGACGGCCCAGGACATCACCGAGTGCAACAGCAACAAGGAGAACAGTGAGCAGCCCCTCCTCACTTCCAAATCCAAGAAAACACCTTCCAAAGGCAAGAAGAAGGAGTCCTGCTCCAAACATGCGCCGGGGATATCTTTGCACTTGCCCCAGCCCAAGTTCCGTGTGGTGGACTCCTTCAGCCAGCCAGATGCTCCTCCCCTCCCTGCTGCCTACTACCGGTACATCGAAAAGCCTCCCGAGGACCTCGACGTAGAAGTGGAGTATGACATGGACGAGGAGGATCTGGCTTGGCTGGAGATGGTCAACGAGAAGAGAAGGGCTGATGGTTATGGGACAGTTTCTGCTGACACTTTTGAGCTGCTGGTGGATCGGTTGGAAAAGGAGTCGTACCTCGAGAGCAGGAACAACGGGGCTCAGCAGTCCCTCATCGATGAGGATGCCTTCTGCTGTGTCTGCATGGACGATGAGTGTCACAACAGCAATGTCATCCTGTTCTGTGACATTTGCAACCTGGCCGTGCACCAGGAGTGTTACGGCGTGCCCTACATCCCCGAGGGGCAGTGGCTTTGCCGCTGCTGCTTGCAGTCCCCTTCTCGCCCCGTGGATTGTGTCCTTTGCCCAAACAAAGGGGGAGCCTTCAAGCAGACCAGTGATGGCCGCTGGGCTCACGTGGTCTGTGCCATCTGGATCCCAGAGGTCTGCTTTGCAAACACTGTGTTCCTGGAGCCCATCGAGGGGATCAATAACATCCCTCCAGCTCGGTGGAAGCTCACGTGCTGCATCTGCAAGCAGAAGGGCATGGGAGCTGCTATCCAGTGCCACAAGGTGAACTGTTACACTGCCTTCCACGTCACCTGTGCACAGAGAGCCGGTCTCTTCATGAAGATTGAGCCCATGAGGGAGACCAGCATCAACGGCACCACGTTCACCGTGCGCAAGACTGCCTACTGTGAGAGCCACTCCCCGCCTGGCACGGTGAGAAGAGGGTGCCCAGCTGCTGGTGGTGATTGGCAGGAGGTCACTGTGAAGGAGGAGGAAGAGGAGGAGGTCAGTTCTGGCCCTCCCAAAGGGTCTGTGAAGAAAAACCAAGTGAAATTGAAGCAAAAGATCAAAAAGGAGCCTGGTGACGTGACCAAAGGGCGTTCGTCCATGCCCGTGGTGACCGTTGCACAAATTCCCTCTTACAGGTGAGTGTTGCAGGTTTAGGGAAGGAGTTGAACAGCAGTAGCTGAACAGGGTCTGTTTTAAGGACTCAGTCCCTCTCATTGTTGACCTTGGAAGCACTGAATCTTCAGTCAAGGCTTTAGCAATAACTGTTTTCAGAATACTCTGCAGCATAACATGTGGCTGGGTTTCTTCTGAGTGTCACTGTGGTTCTCTGGCTTTGCTGAGCAGCCATCCCAAGCTGATGTGTAATGCAGACTCTGTGGTGGTCCCTAATGGCAAACATCCATCCACCATGAAGGCATTTTTTAAATACTTGAGGCATTACAGGTTGGTAGGCAGGTAGGGGTCATCCCACTATTAAAATTTTTGAGATCTCATTCCATAGTTTCTTAATTCTTCCTTTTACTACAGAGCATGTCAAACCTGACAATGTTGCAAGCAGCTTTGACTTTGGCTGTATTTTTGTATTTTTCTCCCAGCTCTCCCTCATGCAGAACTAGGTAGTGCTGAATTTTTGTTTGATGCCTTAGGAAGTGTGTTGATGTGTCTATTTTAACAGATAGGCTGATAAGGCACTATGTGCAAGATAAGAATGGTAAAAAAAGGTTAAAATAGGTGATCTGTTATTCTTGGACTCCTGTCAAGTTAATTTCCCAGGCTCCAGATTAATAACATCAAACTTAAATGGCCCCTGGAAGGTTCTTGACATGGGAAGTAGTTTTGAAATTAAGGCTTGGAGCTGAATTGATGATTTCATACTTTGTGCTGTGGCAAATGCTTGGTGGGACCCTCCAGCAGGAAAAGGGGGAACATCTGTCTGCATGTGAGGAAATCCCAGATTGTCCCAGTTCGTGTGTACTGGGATTGGAGTGAGCATTGACACAACACTGCAAAGCTTCATCAGGAGACCCCAGGCTCTGCAAAGCCACAATTGCTTTGCAGCTGGCTGCATGACACTCTGTGCTTCCTTCAGGCTGAACAAGATCTGCAGTGGGCTCTCCCTGCAGAGGAAGAACCAGTTCATGCAGAGGCTGCACAACTACTGGCTGCTGAAGCGGCAGGCGAGGAACGGGGTGCCCCTGATCCGGCGGCTGCACTCGCACCTGCAGTCCCAGAGGAACGCCGAGCAGGTGAGGGCTGCTCCCCTCAGCTCACAGGGCTCACAGCCTGCCCTCAGCAGGAGCTGAGCTTAACACAGGGCTGGGGAGGGAGCGAGGGTGAAAAGATCAGATTTGAGTCTCTCTCAGTCTCCTCTTGGCGTGCCTGAAGAACTGAGTTAGTGCTTTGGGCTGCTGCTCCCATGCACAGAAAAATTTCCAGTCTGTAATAAACTTGGGTGTAAAAGCAGGGAGGGTGTAAATGAGCACACACTGAAGTGTGTTCCCTGGGTGAAGCTGCAGGATAATTTGGGGTAATGTCACAGATAAGGTAAAAGCTAGAAAAGCTGATGTTCTCTCTGTTAGACAGCTAAGTGCTGGAGAAAGGAGGGGACATGGCCTGAACAAGAGACAAGGCAGTAAGAGGAAAACTCTGAGAGCAATTTCCTGTGGATTCCTAGAAGAAGAAGGAAGCACAGGAAGCCTGTGGTGTTTTTTATCTCACCCCACTGGTATTTTGCAGAAGGAGCAGGATGAGAAGACGAGTGCAGTGAAGGAGGAGCTGAAGTACTGGCAGAAGCTGCGGCATGACTTGGAGCGGGCTCGGCTGCTCATCGAGCTCATCCGAAAGAGGGAGAAGCTCAAACGGGAGCAGGTGGGGAGTTCTGGCTGTCCAGTTCCTGCTCTTAACCTCAGCCCCATGCAAGCTCTCTGTGCATTTTGGGGAAAAGTGTGATCTTTGTCTATATTCATTCTCTCATTGATGCAGTCTTGTTGCTGAGCACATCAAATGCAGTTTGCTTTGTGTAAACAGACTTGCTTACCTTTGTTACTGAAGTGTTGACTTAATGACATAACAAGTGATTATAAGATCAAAGAAATGAAGATGTTAAAGGACAAATAAATACTTTTATCTTGTTCCAGTCTTCTTTGAGCAGATTTTTCATGCAGGAGATTTTCAGTGCTACAACTTGTTGGCTTGAAGTCAAGCAGTCTTAGAGACTTCCTAAAGGATAGAGGGAACTGTATTAGGAATTGCAGACATCTAACCACTGTTGTTTGGTTTCTGCCTTGAAGTCTGAGAGCTTATGTCTTAAACTTTGTTTTTGCTCTCTAGTCTAATTATGGATGTTGTTGTTCATATAAATGCATACTTTTAATTTTTATATAATGTTGCTAATTGGCATAATAACAATATCTTGAGGCAGACAGTTCTCCAGGATAATTTACCAGGCATGAAAAGCCTGTTTTCATTTTTAATTGTAGTATCCTTTAACTTCCTGGGGTTTCCTCTTGTTTTGCCTTTGTGAGATTGAATAAACAGGAGTTCCCCATGTAAAAGGATTGATCTGGGCAGTGTACATGGAGAGTGCAAGGTGTTTGCCAGAAATTCTACAACAATGCTGGCCTGAGGTTTCTACCGCTGAGTAAAGCTGGGGGGGTGATTCAGAGGAATCTGGAGGGAGACACCCACTCACAGATCCTGTCCTCAGTGAGTTATTCCTGGACTCCTGTCCTGATGGCCGTGTTCTGTTGCCAGGTCAAGGTGCAGCAGGCTGCCATGGAGCTGCAGCTGACCCCGTTCAATGTCCTGCTCCGCACAACCCTGGACCTGCTGCAGGAGAAGGATGCTGCCCAGATCTTCACAGAGCCTGTCAACCTGAACGAGGCAAGTCTCTTTCCTGGAGGTGCTTAGTGGGTTTAGATGAGATATTGCTGGGCAGAAGCACAAACCACCTTGTCTCAAGCTGCTGGTGGACTAAAACCTATCTCAAAAAGGACTCATGATGTGTCCAGGACAAAAAAAGGGTATTTTTTTCTGAAAGCTTAGCACATTTTGGATGAGTAATGTTTTGTAGAGCCAGGGTGTGTCTGCCTTGCCTGGGTGACACAGAAATAACCATCTGTTGCTGCCCCTTGCCAGTGGAAAGGGCATTAAGAGTGCTTGTGCTGGGTGCGCTCTGGTTGGCTAGTAAATGGTTTTTGTAATTGTACAGGTTTTATATGTTTAGGTTCCAGATTACCTGGAATTCATTTCCAACCCAATGGATTTTTCCACCATGAGGCGGAAGCTGGAGTCCCACCTGTACCGAACCTTGGATGAGTTTGAGGAAGACTTTAACCTTATAGTTGCCAACTGCATGAGGTATAATGCTAAAGACACGATTTTCCACCGAGCAGCTGTCCGGCTCCGGGACCTCGGGGGAGCGATTTTGCGTCACGCGCGGCGCCAGGCCGACAGCATCGGCTTTGACACTGGCGTGGGGATTCACCTGCCTGAGTCGCCCAAGCCCCACGACTTTTACCGCTTTTCTTGGGAGGATGGTGAGTAAGGATTTGGGGTTTTTTCCCCTCAGGCAGATTGTAGATTTAGTTCTGAGCATGTTGTTCAGCCTGCATGGAAATTGTAGCTGTTCTGCACATGGGGATTTTCCTGTCCATCTGTTTAATTAGGCACATACAGAGCTCCTTTAGAACCCCAGGGAGTGGGATTTCAGGTGAGCTGGGCGCTCTGAGCTAGGTGCAGCTTAGCTCCAGCTCTGCTAGTGCATGTCTGTGCTGGCAGAGCCTTGTAAACTGCCTGTGCTCTTTGATTTGGGCCAGGAATGTTGTACAAACTCACTATTTTAAAGAGCAGTGCAAACTTGGGTCTGGGATTTTTTACTCTGGGGAAAGCTCATATATTTCATTGTAAACTGGCAAACTGTACAGCAGCTGGGTTAGATGGAGCACTGAGAGCTGAAAGAGGGTGATGAGGGGTGAAGGTGCTGGGACCTAAGCAATCCTTCTAGCTGAGACTTTCCATTCCCAACACAACCCCATCCATTCCCACAGCCCTCTTGAGATGCAGCTCCAAAGCATTGGTTGAGTAACTTGGCTAAACTTGGTACAGCCATCAAGCACACAGAGCTTGCAGTGTGCCATCTGGCTCCCGAATGTTGAAGCCCTTTTGGGTGCAGATGGACAGTCATTATGAAATTTGTGTAGGTGTTCAGCTGTCTGTCCTGCTCCAGCAGATGCCAGCCCTCCAGCAGAGCCAGAGGAATGGAAAATATGTTACGTTTTGGCCGCTTATGTTTGTGGTCTGATTTTGTCATTTAATCTGACAATGAAATAGGTTTCTGACAATGCCTAGACCACAAGCTGTTCTGGGTGGGGTGCAGACATGTCCTTTCACTGTTGCCCCTGGGGCAGTAACAGGAACTGAGGGACAGTGCAAGTTCAATCAGCTGCTTTTTATCCAAAGAAGGAAGAAGTCCAGGCTCCAAAGTTATCGACTGCTAAATCCCCAGGCTAAAGCGATCGATTCACGGACAGCATCAAAGGGAACGAGGCCTGGCATGGCCCCAGGTGCTTCTCCACGAAGCCTCACTCCTTCCCTTCACTGTTCATCTCTTTGCTGCAGTGGATAACATCCTGGTCCCGGAGAACCGGGCCCACCTGTCCCTGGAGGCGCAGCTGAAGGAGCTGCTGGAGAAGCTGGACACGGTGAGCGCCATGCGCTCCAGCGGCGCCCGCACGCGGCGCGTCCGGCTGCTGCGGCGCGAGATCAACGCCCTCCGCCACAAGCTGGCCCAGCAGCAGCACGGCAAGGCCCTGCCCAACGGGGACGGGCCGGACACGGCGCCCAGGGAAGGGGAGGAGGAAGGGGAGAAAGGTGAGCAGTGGGATTTTGATTCCAGGTGTAGTGCTCATCAGCAGTCAAAGCCTGCTGCTTCTCCTGTGACTTTAGTGAAAGATGGGGATGGCTGTAGGTAGTTTTGGGAATGATCCTTGCCAAAAAGCTCAAACGGATTATTTATTCCTTTAGGAGATGGTGGCAAGCTCCCGTACCCTCCAACCCTGGAGCCCACCGGACCTGCACCCACCCTCTCAGAGCTGGACTCTCTGCAGGACCCTCCAACACTCAAACCCATCAGTGAAAGCAGGCCCCTGAACCAGCTGCAGAGGAGGATGGTGTCCGACAGGGAGCTCTTTGACAAGAAGGCTCTGCAGCAGGAGAGCCAGGCCTTCCAGCGCCTGCTGTCCAACAACGGCCTCAACGGCCTGGCCCTGCCCCCTGCAGACAGCCCTGCCAGCCCCGCCCTCAGCAGCGTGGGCCGGCGGACCTCGGTCCTTTTTAAAAAAGCCAAGAACGGCGTGAAGCTTCAGAGGGGTCTGGAGTGCTCCCTGGAGAACGGGGAGGAGCACAGGCAGGGCGGGCAGCGCTCACCCTCCTGCCCCGACGGGGAGCGGCAGGCACGGAAACGCTCTGCCCTGGGCTCTGGGCTGGTGTTTGAGGCCTGCAGGTGAGTGGCCCAGGCAGAACTGTTCCCTGAAACACCTTCTGTGTCTGAGTTAATCTCTCTGATTCTGTTCTTTGACTTCTTGGTTCAAACCCAGCCCATTCTGTTACTTGTGTGTTGACTCTAAAACACAAGAAGCTGCTGAGTTTTCATCCTGTCTTCTTAAGCTGCAGGTCCCAAAAGCAGTGCTTGATTTTTCAAGCAAGTGGGTGTGTGTTACATTGCTCTTTCTCAGTGCATGCACATCCTCTCTGCTGATGCAGTTCTTGGGAACCAAAACTTGGAAAAACTTGAATTCAAATTTTTAGTTCAGCACTGCAGGTAGAGCTGAACTTTTACCACCTACTAAACAGCTGCTTTCTTCCTCTCAGAAGTTTGAGCAGAACTGGGCACTTCAAACATGACTGAACAGATTTAAAGCAAGCACCTGACATCTTCTGATGTCTGTTGTCCAGGATAATGTGTTATGTCCTAATGGCCTGCATTTTTCCTGCCAGTGGTTTGGTGCCTCCCAAGCGGAGCCGAGGGAAACCGGCTCTTTCTCGGGTGCCCCTCCTGGAGGGTGTGAATGGAGACTCTGATTTCAGTGGCTCAGGTGAGAATTGCTGCCCAGCACCCCCTGCTCTGCACCCACCCAAACCAGGGGGAGCACATCTCAAAGCACACCAGGAGCCAGTCCTGCCTAGGCTGGACCTGCCTGGGCACTGTTACCTGCTTGGTTACAGGTTTAGGTTATTGCAGGTAACATTTTCATTAAAGAAGATTACTCCTTTTCCAGGACCAGGGCTGGCTGATTTCATATCTATGACCAAATCCATTGTGGGGCCGTTTGATTTCAGTGACTCAATCTGATTAGCATTTCTGTATTGAAGAGTTCATGTGAAGCCACATGACCCATGATTTAGGAGACTGTGGCTTTATCTTAGTGGTGAACCTGAGTGTACTGACAGAGCAGAAAGAAGGCTGGAGTTTGGTACATGCTGAGTTTTATCATAAACACCCAGTTCATGTAGATACAAACAATTGATTTCCTTTTTGCCTTGTCAGCGTGTTTTAAGTACTAGAGTTGTTCATTTGTTTTAGTTGATTGCTACTGAGATGAGGCCTGGGTGAGATGACAATGTGGTTCTTTGTGTTTTCATACCCTCTTGCTGGTAGCAGCTCCTGAGCTGTGTCTCCTGCTGTCCCTTAGGCAGGCCTCTCCTGATGTCCTTTGAGAGCCAGGCTGAGCTGGAGCCCCTGGAGCTGGTGTGGGCCAAGTGCCGTGGTTATCCCTCCTACCCTGCCCTGGTGAGTGCCCTGGGGCTGTCCCACAGCCTGACCTTGCAGCTCAGCTAGACACAGTTCTGCTGTGCACTGTAACGAGACAGAAAAGGGAAACTTCCCAAAATAATGGAATATGTGCTTTTTGGTTTTCTCCTTTCCCCTTTGCACAGTGAATTTTCCCTGTGCTTATTGTTTCAGAGCTTTGTAGAGGATTCATAAAACTTTGGTCTGTTTTTGTCAGGGGTAGGAGCTCTTTCCTCTGAGCAAAGTCATCAGTGCTGTGGGGATGAGAAGACCTAAATTTTACAAATGCAGGCACCAGGTTCTGCTGCCTGCACATTTCCCTGTTGGGTGAGCACAGCTCCATCTGTAGGTGCCCAGCTGGCCCTGTCATGTCTGCATCCTCTTGCAGCAACCATATGTTTGATTTAAGTATGAGCATATATGCATGTCCCTTGAATGATATTTCTTACTGTTTATCTGCCTTTGGATATTTATCTATTAATGCCATCAAAAGGGGCAGATTCTGTTGGAAGTGTGACTCTCATCCATGCTCTTACTCCAGGTGGGAGCCCAGAAGAGGGAACATCCATGGATCAGCCAAAGCAGTTTTAGTTCTCCACGTGGCTACAGCCAGAGTTAACTGTGGCTTAGAATGGATTTAACCACTGAGGCTGCCTCCAAAAAAGGCTTTTTCTGTAGCAGCCTGTTGTGGTGGCAAAGTGTCTTAATAAATTCCTACAGATGGCCAATGTCAAAGCCAATCTCCTTTTTCAGGCCCTTAGGAGGGGAGAAGAACAGACTGAGTATTGCAGGCACCCTCTGCTGTTTTCTTCTCCTGTGCTGACACAGCACAATGTGCACATGGACATTTCTGCTTTATAGGGGCAGAACTGATGTATTTGTTGTGACTTATCTTCCAAATTACTGTAGTCTCTGTTCCCCTGGCTTGATGGAGCCAGCACTGCTTGTCAGCTCTCAAAATATTTGGCCTGGTTCTGATCTAATGCAGTGTAAATCTGAGCAATGCCACTGATGTCAGCTGAGTTGTTCCAGAATGGAGCTGTTGTGAAATCACATTTGCCTGGGGAGTACAGCAGGAGCATTGCATTTGTCTGGAGTTTGGTGTGAGGGAGGGAAACCCTTTGCTGAACAGAATAATGCTGAGTTTGTTCTGAATTACACATTAGTGTAAGTGCATTTACAGCCACATAGAACCACACAAATCTTTTTTTCAAGATGGGATGCTTGGCTTTGGGACTGTCTGGCTTCCCTCCCACAGGGGAAGCCTCAGAATGAAATTTTTTTAGAAAACAAGCAATTTTGCTTACCCACCCAAAGTAGCCTTAATTTGTCTAGCTTGGATACACTGAAAGAACAGAATAATAATACACTCTGTTAATTGCTTGGAAGGGTTTTGTACTAATTGTCCTCCCCCCGTGTCCCCAGATCATCGACCCCAAGATGCCACGCGAGGGTTTGCTGCACAACGGGGTCCCCATCCCTGTGCCCCCCATGGATGTCCTGAAGCTGGGGGAGCGGAGGCAGACAGAGGCAGGAGAAAAACTCTTCCTTGTCCTTTTCTTTGACAACAAGAGAACCTGGTGAGTGTGTGCACACAGCTCCGTGGTGAGTGTGAGTGAGAGAGAAGATTCAACATGAGCTTTGGGATGTGGGAGCACAGGGATTATGATGATGTCACATGTAAATTGGGGAATTTAAACATGCACAGAGGTCTGTGCTCAGGAGGCATTTTGGCTGCAGGGGCTTCTATGTCAAATGCAGGGATTTAAACATTTGTACCATTGTTGTGGGGCAGTGATGGTGAATAAATACATCACGTGGGGAGGAGCTGACAGGCCTGTGCACTCCTCTCTGCTGCAGGCAGTGGCTGCCACGGGACAAAGTCTTTCCCCTGGGTGTGGATGACACCGTGGACAAGCTGAAGATGATGGAGGGACGCAAGACCAGCATCCGCAAGTCGGTGCAGGTGGCCTACGACCGAGCCATGATCCACCTGAGCCGAGTGCAGGGGGACAACCCCTTCATGCCAGCCCCCTACCTGTGAGGGGCTGCTGGGGCAGCCCTCCTGCTCCTCCGCACCTCCAGCTCCCTGCACTGACAGGGCAGCACCTCCAGCAGCGGGCAGCTCGCCTCGGAGTACCCTGAAATGTGCCAAAAACCCTTGTCCGGCTTCTTCCTGAATGTGTCTTGTGAAGAGCTGGCAGGAGATGAAATGTAGTCTACAGGGAGTAAGGTAGGTAGGGAAAGCTGACAGGTGACAGGAGCCAAGGTGAGTTGCTGCAGTGAGCAGAGCACACAGCACTTGGGTGTTGGGGCCTCGTGCACCGTCCCCTGCCTCTGTGGACTGCCAGGGTTCTGAGTCGTCAGCCAGTCCCAGGTAATTCCTGGGAACCTGGCACCCCCAGGATTCCTTACAGAAATCCCAGCTGGACTTTCTTGTGCCAAATTTACCCTAATCATTGGCCTTTTCATTTTCCTTTAAATGGCATTGTCCTGTCACATAAAAACCACACAGAATCATAGCTGGGAGCTCTCATTGTGACTCTCCTGCCTACCTACATTGTGTTTTCATGTTTAGATTTCTCTCACTGCATTTAGAAAAGCTTGAGATTTCGGTAACCTTCCCCCCCTGCACAGTTTCATGCACAGATGCACAGAGCTTTAAAGAAGAAAATCAAATTACCTGATGTGTGTCTATATGTATGTCTTTAGAAATTGATTTTGTAGTTTCACATTTCAGTTCTGATTTCTGTGACTCTGCTTGTTGTAGTAACATTTCATATCATGACTTAGCACAGTACCTAAGAAAAGATAACTTCCTTTTTTTAAGAAGTAATTTTGGAGGTGTCTGTTGAGCTGGAGCAGCTCTTCAGGCACTGAGGTTGATCAGGGTCGGAGGGAGATGCATCTTTTGTGTTGGTTTATGCACATTTGGTGTAAGGCTCCTCTTCCTTTTTCCCCCCCTCCTCTTTCCTGTCTCCCTGTTTTCCTCTGCCCCGTTTTGGACTGAAAGCAAGCACTGACCAGAGCACACGACCCTTCTGCTGTTTCACCTTCTCCCACACGTGCACATCCTTCCCTGGTGTGTGGGTCTGCAGTGTTGTCATCCAGGTAAACCCAGACAATCCCTGTTGGTTTGGGTTTGCATTGCAAAAAAAAACAAAAACAGGGACAAGCTGATGTTTGGGAACTTGGTGACTCAATCTTTTCTATTAGCCAAGGACTTTATGATTTCTCTGATCTCTTCTGTTGCATATCCCTCTTTGCTTTCCCATTTTAAAGAGCCAAAGGTGCAAAGCAAGATTGTAGATTGAATATCATCATTTTGCTTTTTAACTCAGTATTTTTAAATTATTTTTAACTTTTTCATACTGAAGAGAATGTGGAGTCAAAATAATAATAATTAATGATAATGAATAGTAGGGAGTAATCACTGCCATTTCTACTTGCTCTACTTTTTTAAAAAATACCACTTCTTATACATTGGGGCATGGAACTGCATTTGAAGGAATTTTAAGATTCCTTTAACGTATAAAGATGGGGCATAGGAGTTTGTAAAAATATTAACAGTGCTAATAATGCCCATGGAGTGTGGCTAGGGAAGGATGTTGTGTATATAGTTGTAAAATGTTCTAAATTATTTAGACCTATTGTCACCATTCTTGAAGTCCTCAGTTGTGTTGCTGGGTCTTTTATATGCACACAGTGTAATTTATTTAAAGGAACATACACTTTTCCAGGTGGTAGCTCAGCTGTGGACTAGTGACCTGTGTATATGTTTTAAGGTCTTGGGAGTTGGTCTTTTTTTTTTTCTTTTTGTTTTTAATTTTGTTTGGTTTTTAAATGAGTTTAGAATTTGGATTGGCTGATATCCTGTTGTTGCTACAGAACCTAAATGTTACTGTCAGTCTGCTGTAAAGCACAGATTGCTCTATTTATTGTAGAAAGTGAGTTTATTTGCTTTCTAGAATTGTTTATATCAGATGGTATAAGAGAAGTAATAAGAAAATCTATGCTTGTAAAGAAAAAAAAAAGCTAATTTTACCTACTATAATCTGACTGTCTGAGACTATATTTTCTCTCTGAGAAATAAATGTTCTAATGTATGGAAAAAAAAAGCAAAACAACAAACCACCACCGTCAGAAAGAGTTCATCCTTGCTAATGTTGTCCTGAAATGCAGAACTTACTGTGATGGCTTTAATTGTCCCAGTGGTCCCAGGTGCAGGTGGGCAGAGCAGTGACAGGGAGGTGACACACGGAGAGTTTCTTGTTCTGCCTCCACCATGTCCTGTGTCCCTTCCCTGGGTGCTGCATGGAGAGGTCCCACCTTGTGCTGGTTTTGTTTGTAGGGGTTTTTTTTGTTTGTGTGGAGTTTTTTAAATTATTTCCTTTTTTTAGCTGATGTTAAACTAAGGACCTCTGTTGTCTCAGAGAAAAACAACAAAAGGCACACACAAACAAAGTCCAGCGGCCTGAGAAAAACAAGTCCACCTTAGGAAAGTGATTTCTTGAGATACTGGTTGGAGTTTTATTGGCACCAAGGTTCTGCCTGTCTCATGCTTGGCCCGGGCCTCGCTGCCTGCTGCTTTCCCCTGGGAACAGAAGGGGAACGTGGGGGCCTGGGAGGCTCCAGCCCTGCCAGGAAAGCCCTGGGGCCCAGCAGGAGTGCTGGGAGAAGCCCAGGGTGGCCCAGATGTGTCCCCTCAGGCCCTCCCAGATGCAGCCCAGCACAGGGAATGGCCCTGGAAGCATCCCCAGCTGCTGGGGGTAACAGCACCCGCAGCAGGGCCAGCCCCAGGGAGGCTGTGGGGACAGCAGGGAGAGCTGCCCTGGCTGTGGGCACAGCAGGGAGAGCTGCCCTGGCTGCTGGGCACAGCAGGGAGAGCTGCCCTGGCTGTGGGCACAGCCACTGCTGCTTCCAGGGCTGCTCCTCCCTGCAGTGCAGCCCTGGCCCAGCCCTGGCACTGCCAGCCCTGCAGCCCCTGGGGCTCCAGCAGCTCTCCCCTGCTTCTGCTGGGAGCTCCCACAACTCCACTGCCCCAGCCCTGAGATGGGTTTGTGTCACACCGTGGGCAGAGCCAGCACTGCAGAGGGGTTCAACACCCTACAGCACCACAGCCAGGCAGCCTTCTCAGGCGTGGAGAGGATGGGGAGAACGAGGGGTTCATGTTATAAATATAAAATCTGCTACAAAGAAAAGACATATATTGTACATCTTTGACTCATATACACAAGAACACAATATACACAGAACGCCTCGGAGGAGTGGGGACCTTGTCAGGAGGTTTTTGAGAGATGTTGCTCCCCTACCAGCACCCCCTCTGTGCCTTCCCCACAGCTGCATGGGGCCGTACTCACAGAACATCAGTCACCAAGAGTTCACCAGGCTGGCACACGTCACTGCAGGTGGGTGGGGATGGAGCGCTCGTGGCCCCGCCGTGCCTGCCCTGCTGCCCTGGGGAGAGGTAGGCCAAGAGGATGGACACGAGGAGGGAGGGCAGGCACGAGGGACTCTCTTGTGAACCCACAAAGTGCTTGGGGGGGGTCTCTGGCCCCTCGGAGCGAAGGGAGGCCCTGAGAGAAACTTCTTGCCCTGGCACCCTGGTGGGGAAGGATTCTGTGGCCAGGCAGGTCTCTGATAAGGCATTTTCATCCGGGACTTGGCGCAAACGGTGGCAGAAGAGAGGAGGGAGCAGATGGGGCAGGTGGTGCAGGGCAACGGGAGGCAGCAAAGCTGACGTGGTCCCAGCCAGACAAGCCCAGGACAGGGAGTGGAGAGCACAGGAGGGCTTGGTCTCTGGCTCAGTTTATCTGTAAAGCTTCCCCCATGTTCTCTCTCAGCCCCTCGCAGCCTCCCTGGCGTGAGCCACCAGCACGGAGTGAAATACTGAGAGTCCTCAAAATGGCACATCCAGGCGCATGGAGTGGCAGACAGGCACACGTTCAGAGTTAAGACAAGAGTTCAGGTGAGCTTTGTACAGCAAAGAGCAGCTGCTGGCTGGAGTGTCCGAGGAGCTGGGATGACAAAATGCCACAGTGATCAGATCGGGCCAGGACGAGGGGCGGGCACGGCAGAGAGGAGCCGGCGTGGGCTCCTATCGGCGGTAATGGTTTGGGGCATCTGCAAACATGTACTTGAGTCTGTAGGCTTCAGCCAGCAGCAGCCCAATCTCTTCGTTACCCCAGTGTATCGTGGGCAGGTTCTGCAGCAACATCAAAAGGCCCTGCAAGAGGGGAAGATGCTGAGTTTGGAGAGGCTGAAGGCAGAGCACAGATCCAGTGCAGGCTTGGGGCTGGCCTGAGCAGTGCCAGCAGCGCTCAGGAACTTTTGCTCACTACACTTGCAGGTCTGAAAGGCTCAGGGACAACATCAAGATGTGCTTGGGTCTAGATCTGAACCAGTGAAGCACCCCAAGCCCCTTGGAGTAAGGGTGCTGTTACAGGGTTACAGCTGGACACAGGAGGGCAAACTGGGATCAGAGCTGGAATGGGATGTTTGAACCCTCCAACAGCTCCATTCTCTGTCTTTATCACCAAGGCTAAAGTTACTTCCAGGCAAAGCTCCTGAGACCAGATGATCTTGGAGCCAGCTCTGACAGCAGTCCATGTCCACACTGGGCTCCCAACCACAGCAATTCCCTCCCCTCTACTTCCCCAGGGATTCACCCCCAACCTCAGGGTCTTACTTGGAAGTCTTCCTCATCCAGGATCTCCTTCCGCCACTTGATCAAGAAGGCAGCACAGACGTACAGGTGGAAATGGGAGAATCCTTCTGGCTCTGACTGTGGACAGCAAAACTCTGGGTGAACTGCAGCTCAGCTGGAGAACAACCCCCAGACACAGGCGTCCTACTGGGCCACCCATCACCCAGCTGGCTGTGACCATCCTGGGCCACTCTGCTTTGTTTCCCTCAGCTGGTGGCAGGAGAGCTCTGTGCCCATGGGGACAGGGACACCAGGGACAGTGACAAGGCAGGAGGGAGCTCAGCATACCTGGTAGGTGTCCCAGAGGCGGATGGTGCAGCGCAGGGGCAGCTCCCTCATCAGCAGGTTGTTCATCCAGCGAAAGGCAAACTGCAGGTACTCGACCTCGTACTTCCTAAAGTGATTATGTACCTGCTCTGAAACAGCACATTTCACTTACACACCTGGGCTCACAGTGCCCCAGCTCCTGCTCACAGCACAGTGCCTTTCACATACTTTCAGCCTGAGACCTTTTTCTCCCAAATTCCTTCTCTCCCCACCCTGTGCTGTCACCAGGGGGATTCTGGCTGACCCTGCCCTGCTCTGGTTCCATGAGTGTTGTAGGAAGTGTCCACCCCTGCCCTGAGAGCTGTCCCACAGGAGGCTGTGACAAACTGACCAGACTCCCGTGTCACCTACCATCGATCCGGCTGACCAGCTCCTCCAGGGCTTTCACCTTCTTCTGGATCCCTGGCTGTGCAAAGGTGTAATTGTCCTGTGGGAGAGGCCCTGAGTCAGCAGCTTGAACAACAGCTAGAAATTACCAAACCCAGATCAGCAGCTGGACAGTTGGGGTGAGATTATCATGAGCCAAGGAGCCAGGGCTCTTGAGCACCAGGACTGTGCCTGCTGTGAATTCCCCTGGTCAGGACGGGGCCATCTGGACAGCCACAGCACCCACCTCCCCAGGATTTCACACATTAACAGATTCAGCGGACAAACTAAAGTCACTGAAGTACCAAAACCTCCCTAAATGCTGGAGCATGCAGAATACTCACCCAGCCAGGGAGAGGAGACAACCACACAGGAATTCCTGTGGCCCCAGAGGCTCACCTGAATCCCATCCAGCAGCTTGCTCATGCACCAAAAGCTGTCGGCCTCGATGCTCCGTAAAACATCCTGGGACAGGTTTGTCACATCAAAGTTTTCCACATCCTCCTCTGCAAAACAGAGAGGGAAGAGCATCAGGGAGATGGGGGACACCAGAAACATGGTGGGGCTTTATCAGGCCAGAGCTTTGCAGGAGACCCTGCAACACTCTCCAAGTCAGGAGATACAGGTCTGGCCCTCCTGGCTTGGCTGACCCAGCAGTTCCCTCCCTTTTCTCCCTGGGAGGAGAGCACCCACCACGCTGCTGTCACACCACTACACCAGATCAAATAACAGGGCTGAGCTGGCCCATTTCCAGTTTCAGAGGCTCA